AATAATAATAATAATAATAATAATAATAATAATAATAATAATAATAATAATAACAGTAATAACAATAGTAGCAACAATAGTAATAATAACAACAGTAACAATAATAATAACAGTAATAATAATGATAACACTACTGTAGTAGTAGTAATAAATTTTGATATTAATAGTTACAGACAGGATAATAATAACAATAATAATCATAATAATAGCAACAGCAGTAACAACAAACAATAACAAAGTAAGAAAAAAAAATCCTACTTCGTTTCGTTACTGTAATGGTCCTGTGAGCCAGAGTGAGCAGTCATAGCATCAACTGAGTACAGCGACAAAGCTGAATCGGAACGGGCAACAGCCACTGCTGCACCCTCACGTGAAAATTCAATTGCTGTTTGATATGGGAACGGTGTAATATCTTGCATGCATACCATTTTTTGCAATGCCATATCCCATAGAATGAGGGAGCCTTCGCTTCCCAGTGATGCCAGATAGCGACCGCAAGGTGAAACCTGCAATTTTGTTAAAAAATCATACTTGATCAGTACTCAGCAAATTCATCTTTCCAGATGGTTCAGGAATTCAACGCCTAGTTAGAATGCTATTCTAATGAAAATCTTTTTCTTATGAATGACACACAATGACTGTCCGTATTATGGATTAACTCCCTCTTCCTTCTGTCTCACCCTGTTTGTTCTTACTTTCTGTCTTCTCTTTCTTTCGTATATCCGTCTTGCAAATTAGTCCAGTACATGGCGGTTAGGAGGCTTTACTAATGATCTCCCACTGTTATCTCTAGAAATTAATCAGGTTCGTCATCCTTCCACGAAGTCCCTGAACTAACTGGATCCCCTTGTCCGTTCTTCTGCCCTGCCCTCCCTTCCCCTCCTCACTCTCCCCTTAGCTACTCGTCTCACAAGACCTAAAAAGATATTAATTGCTGAAAGCATTAGCAGTGCTCCAACCTTAATTCCACGAATTGATCCTTTATGGCCTGCAAAGCATCGTACACAGGTTCCGGAGAGGATATCCCAGACGCGCACGTAGCGATCATCACTACCGCCAGCAAAATAATTACAATTGGGATGGAAATCAATACAAGTGACATCCGAAAATGCATCCGAAAATATCCTCAACGGTTGCAGACGATCTGTTGTCCATAGCATTGCAGTGGAATCGGAGCCAGCTGTTGCAAAATAATACGAGCGAGGACAAAATTTCACCTGAAGCAAAAATGTCACGACCTGATTTTCCTTAAAAAGCGACCGAAAAAGTTGCCGGGCGAAGGGAGGCAAGAGGGCAAAAAAGGAGTGAATTATAAAGTATCCGGGGGGAACAATAAAATTCGACAAAGATGATATACTACTTGTTCTGCAGACCACTGATTTGTTCAAGCTATTTACTGCCCGTATTCTTAGAGAGAAAAGAACCAATTGAACGGTCTTCGAAAGGATGAGGCAAGTACACAGACTGGAAACAAACAGTTCTAGAGAGGAAATTTAAGTGGGCTTCAGTATTTATGAATATGATGCTTAGATAAAGCTGAGAGCTCCCAACTGATGCACTCAGGGCAAGAGAGCGTCTCACGAACTAAAATTGAGGATCAAAATTCTTCTCTCCTCTCTATACCTCCTCCTAGGGATGTTTGACGAAGTATTCGAGATATTTTTGAAGATATTTCGCCTTTTCCATTGCTGTTTGTCCAGCGAGTCGCGTATCCGATTATGGTAAAGGAGATAAGGGTCTCGGCAAGGAAGCTCCTTCTATTTTACAGAAATTCAAAAAAAAAAAAAAAATTTACCTCCCAAATTGGAGTTGCATATCTGTACAGAACAACATTACTACGAGATGCAATACTCCATAAACGAATTGTTCGATCACGAGAGGACGAAAGCAGAAGTCGTTTGTCCGGTGAAAATGACACCGAATGTACGCCTCCGTTATGACCCTGAAATGATAAAAAACGAACTCACCACTTCTATTTCGTAGATACTGATGGCTATGGACGAAAAAACTAGCCGTCTGATGCATCAGCAAGGCTTTTTCGTGTTCACTGGAAGTGTTCACAACTTGAGAAGTATTATTCAAAAATCGGAACCGCCCGTGCACTCACTCTTTACATGGGAATAACCGGTCTGGCAACAAACGGTAATTAGCAACCATGCGATGAAAAAACTGTCGTCGATGACCCTCTCTTTCGTGGATTGCTTAGAAGCAAGCTGATGGCAAGTTTGACTCTCTGGCATAAACTGATACCAAACCATAAGCGG